TGAGCAAGCATTAGGTCTATTAGATGACCAACCCTCTAGGAGACACATTCTTGAAAGATTCATTGGAGGCCTTAAAGATGAGCTGAGGTATGAGGTGGCAGCAGCCAGACCTAATTCATTGAAAGGAGCAGTTTCACTAGCTAAGCTGTTTGAAGATAAGCAAAAGAATGAAAGAAAGCCTAGATGAAACTGGAATGTGTACAATTCAGGAGGACATTCAACAAATACCCCACATAATATCCCTGTTAAAGAGAATTCTCGTTCAACTTCTCAATTCAAGAAAATGACCCCTGAAGAGATACAATGTTAAAGAGAATTCTCGTTCAACTTCTCAATTCAAGAAAATGACCCCTGAAGAGATACAAAGAAGGAGTTAGAATTTATGTTTCACCTGTGATGAGAAGTGGCATAGAGGACACCAGTGTAAGGGAAAACAGCTGTTTATATTAGAAGGCATTTTAGAAGGAGGTATTGTGGGAAATGAAAGTGATTACGAGGAGACTGAAGAAGATACTGTGGTAGTTGAACTAGCTGAAAGTTTAGTTAAAGGAGCTCCATCTATTTCAGTTCAAGCTTTGAGTGGGATTAATGCCTCTCATACTATAAGAGTAGTGGGTTACTACAAGAATCAAGCAATTAGTATCTTGATAGATTCTAGATCAACTCACAACTTTATTAATGCCAAATTAGTCAAAAGGCTGGGGTTAAATATGACAGAATCTACTGATTTTAATGTACTGGTGGCTAGTGGTGAGTTGATTAAAGGAGCTGGAGTTTGTCAGGGAGTGATGTTGGATTGTCAGGGAGTTAAAATTCAAATCAATTTGCTAGTCATGCCTATGGGGGGTAGCCAAATTGTTTTGGGGACAGACTGGATGAAGACACTGGAGGATATCACCTTGAATTTTTAGAAATTACAGGTAACCTTCATGAGTGAAGGGGTGAAAAGAACCCTGCAGGGTATAGTTCCAGAAAAAATACAATTGGTTAATGAGAAGGCCATTGATAAGTCTTTTAGGGAACAAGAGGAAGGGTATCTGATCCAGTTATGTAGTGTGAATTTACAAGAATCTACTTCAAGAAATGTTGCTGAAAATCTACCCATGGACATGCACCAACTGATACAAGAATTTTAGATAATATTTAATGAACTGCCTCACCTTCCTCCTCATAGAGATATAGATCATAGAATTCCACTGGAAGAGGGTACAAAACCAATTTGTATTAGACCCTATAGACATGCTCATTTCCTAAAAGAAGAGATTGAAAAACAAGTTGAAGATATGCTCCGGAAAGGGATTATATAAGACCCAACAAGAGTCCTTTTTCTTCTCCAGTGGTGATGTTAAAAAAACATGATGGTACATGGAGGATGTGTATAGATTAAAGAAATCTTAACAAATCTACAATTAAAGATAAGTTCCCTATTCCTATAATTGATGAACTGCTGGATGAGCTGAATGGAACTCAATTTTTTACAAAATTGGATTTGAAATCAGGTTATCACCAAATCAGGATGCATGAAGATGACATACCAAAAACTGCTTTCAGAACACACAGTGGGCATTTTGAATTCATGGTCATGCCCTTTGGCCTCACAAATGCCCCTTCAACTTTTCAAGCACTTATGAATACTATTTTTAAAAAGTTATTGAGGAAATCTGTGCTGGTTTTCTTTGATGACATTCTGGTTTACAGTAAGGGATGGCAGGATCACTTGGTGCATTTGAAACAAGTGTTCCAGATTATGAAGGATCATCAATTGATTGCCAAATTGTCAAAATGTAGCTTTGGACAGAAGCAAGTGGAGTACTTAGGACACATTGTGTCACAAGATGGAGTGGGTGTGGATCCTAATAAGATCAATGCTATTGTTGAATGGCCTTTGCCCAGGACACTGAAAGGACTGAGAGGTTTTTTAGGCTTAGCTGGTTATTATCGTAAGTTTATAAAGGGTTTTGGAGTAATAGCTAAGCCACTAACACAACTCTTGAAGAATGGAGCTTTTGCTTGGAATGTCTGTGCTGAAGAAGCATTCAATTCCCTAAAACTGGCACTCACCAATTCACTAGTTCTAGCCATGCCAGATTTTAGTTTGACATTTGTAATAGAGTGTGATGCTTCTGGTTCTGGTATTGGGGCAGTGCTGATGCAAAAGGATAGACCAATTACTTATTTCAGTTTTGCGCTTAAGGGGAGGAATGTTACACTCTCTACATATGAGAAGGAACTCTTGGCAATTATCCTTTCTACAAAAAAATGGCAACAATACTTATTGGGCAGGAACTTTATAATCAGAACTGATCACCAAAGCCTCAAATATCTGTTGGAACAAAGAATTCACACATGTGTACAGAACAAATGGCTTTGTAAAGTTGCATGGTTTTGATTACAGTGTTGAATATAAGCCTGGGAGACTAAATAAGGCTGCAGATGGTCTATCTAGAATTCATGAGAGTGATGAACAAGGTCCAGATTATACCATGGAAGTATCAGTTGTAACTACCCTCACCAATGAATGGTTGGAGGAAATCAAACACATGTATTCCACAGATCAATTTTTTACAGATCTTGATGCTAAACTACTTCAAGGAAAATTGGAAGCTGATAAGTATGGTAAGAAGGAGGGACTTTATTTCTATAAAGGCAAACTTTTGATTAGCCCTACTGCTCAAAATATCAAAAACTTATTATTACAAGAACACCATGACAGTCCTATAGCAGGACACTCAAGGGTCACTAGAACTCTACACAGGCTGAGAAGGGCTTTTTATTGGAAGGGGATGAAAAGGGATGTTCAAGGGTATGTGCAAGCTTTTGATACATGTCAAAGAGCTAAAGGAGAGAATGTAGCATCACCAGAACTTTTACAACCACTACCTGTGCCAGATTGTATTTGGGAAGACATATCCATGGATTTCATCACACATCTACCAAAAAGTGGGAAAAATTCTGCTATCTTTGTTGTGGTTGATAGGTTGTCCAAGTATGCACACTTCTTTGGCCTTCCATACCCATACTCAGCTCAGTCAGTAGCTCAGGTATTTTTTGAGGGTATATTCAAGTTACATGGCATGCCTAAATCCATAGTGAGTGATAGGGATCCATTATTCACTAGCCTATTTTGGAGGGAACTATTTAAACTGCAAGGGAGTCAACTCAAATTCAGTTCAGCCTATCATCCACAAACTGATGGGCAAACTGAGATTACTAACAAGAGCTTGGAGAATTATCTGAGATGCTTTTGTTACCACAAGCCAAAGGAGTGGAGTAAATGGCTGGCACTTACTGAATTCTGGTATAACACAAGCTGGAAGAGTTCAACATTGGTTACTCCTTATGAGGTGGTGTATGGTAGACACCCTCCTTCCTTGTTATCATATGTACCCAAAAGTTGTAAGATTGAGGCAGTTGATGAAGTGCTTTTCTCCAGAGATATCACCCTGTAGCTCCTCAAGGACAGCCTGAAGAGGGTAGCTGAGCAGATGAAAAAATTTGCTGATATACACCGCAGTCACAGGAGCTTTAATGTAGGGGATTGGGTTTTTTTTAAAACTACAACCTTACAAGCAAGTTAGTGTCTCATCTTGCAAGCCTCACAAGCTATCTCCTAAATACTATGGACCTTATCAGATATTGGAAAAAATTGGAGAGGTTGCTTATAAACTGGCTCTTCCTGTTCAGTCTCAAATACATCCAGTCTTCCATGTGTCTCAGTTGAAAAAGAAGGTTGGATCTGATGTAGTTCTTCAGGTTGATCCTCCTAGTTATGTAACTGAGATAATTGATGAACCTGAAAAAATTTTAGACAGAAGAACAGTTGTTCAGGGGAAACACTTGGTATCACAAGTCCTCATCAAATGGAAACAACGTCCTGTTTTGGATTCTACTTGGGAATCCTATTGGGATTTGTTTAAAAGGTTTCCTGCTTTTGACATTGAGACAAGGTCCAAATTAAGGGGAGGGAATTTGTTAGGAGCTGGAGCAAGAGATTGAGCTAATAGCCTGGTTGGAACTTTAGCTGGAAACAGTGAAACCAGATACACCTAGACAAGGACTGATACGCAAAGGAAATATCAAAAGGAGGATTAATCTGCAAAGTCTTCACTACAGGAACTTATCTTGTAATAAAGGATGAGTGTACAATTACAGTAGTTAATTCTGTTATATTCTGTTATTTCTGTTTTGTTTCTGTTAACTTTCTGTTAGCTGTGCACGTGCACCAAGTCCTATAGCTGAGTGGTATAAAAGAAGATAATGTAATAATCACTAGTATCATGGATGAAATTGGATTCTCTTCTTCTCCTCAATTCTGAGTTCTATTCCTCTCTCTCTCTTCTAATTCTATTTCTCTCTACTATCTCAATTCTTCCTGCATTCTGTTCTCAAGTTCCCACAACTTCAGCCATGGTCAGAAACAGCCACCTGAGGATCAACCGAGGCTCTCGAGCCTCACAGTTAAAGTTAAATTTTATTAAACTTTGGGTATAAAATTAAATTTAGTTGAACTATCCGTATAAAAATGAAATTATATTGAACTTTGGGATGTCAAAGTTCAATTTTGATAAATTTTTGGCAAAAAAAAAGTTTAGGGTATCAAAATGAAAAATAAAGTAGACTGCGGGGGCATTTTTGGGCAAAGAAAAGCTTTAGAGTATCAAATAATTTGGGATATTTAACTTTGATACCCGTAGTTCAATAAAGTTTAGTTTTGATACTATAAATTAAATAAAATCTAACTTTACTACCCAAAATTCAATAAAATTAAACCCCTGGTGGGGTAAAACGATCAAACTATATGTTTTGGATGCAAAAAGAATGAAAAGTATATGGATGGTCGTACGATGACAGAATGATAATTAAGACCGGTAACGTGAAATGAGACCTAAGTTAGGGGCGGCACCTGAAACAAATGTTTAGAAAGATTTTGGTGAAATTTACAAAGTTCAGGAGGATGTTGACTGTTGTGCAAAACTCCCTAAAAATCGCGGGGTATTGTGATATTAACGCTCTCCCCGCCTAAAACCCTAATTGGGAGCTTTCGCCTTCATGTGCCTTTAAACCACCAAAAGGGGGGAAAAACGAAAAAAATGGGAGGAAACAAGGAGAAATCTCAAGGATTAGGGCGCTCATTAATCCGCCATCACAACCAATTAGTTCAGCAATCAAAAGACCGGGGCAAAGCCCTCAGGCAACAGCGGCGCATTTTAGAGTCCATCACCGACGTCACCGACATCGACGCCGTCATCGAGCAGGCCGAGGAGGCTGACCGCGTTTACACTGTCGATAACCCTGACCCAAATCTCCTTGTTAATCTGTATGTCTCGTTGTTTTCTGCCCTCTTTTATTTGAAAAGATTAGTTTTTGATTGAAAAGATGTGATTTTGATTGTTTGGGATTAGGGATTTGGATGGGGTATTGTCGGTGGAGGAGAGGAGGGAGGAGCAGAGGGAAGAGGAGGCTCTACACGCTGGCAGTCTCCGAGTTCCTCGAAGGTTTGGTTCTTTTTATTTGAATTTATGATGATTTTTTGTTTTTTTAAAGTTTGAATATTGGAAGTTTTTATCATTGTTCTATGTAGGCCGCCATGGAATGCTAGCATGTCACTAGAGGAGTTTGACGCTAATGAGAGGCAGGAGTTCTTAGTTTGGCGGAGAAATCTCGCAAAGTGAGATTTTTGTGATTGCCATCTTGGTGCTGAAAGGATTTCATGTTTGATTAGTTAATAATGTATCTAACTGCAAAAGAATGTGGATAAAAAAGGAAAAAAAAGGTTTGATAATTAATTAGTTAGTAATGTTTGATTCTACGTTTTCTGGATGAACATCTAAGATTATGATTAGTGGCTAATTAGTGTATTTCTCTTGAAATCAGTTATAGAGTATAGTCAGCATCCTTTGTGGTGTTTCTCTCTGGTTCCTATCACTTTCAACTGGTTCTGCATACTTACTCAGGATCCAGAAAATGCATTTCATATCGACTTCTATTAGTTTTAAATAAACCTAGAAAAGCATTGCATTTTCTAATATTATATATTCAGGATTTGTAAGGACATTTGACTTTAGTTTTATGGTTTTACATGTAACATGAGGAATCATTATAGTGGTCCTGATGTTTCACAATTCACATCTTCCATGTTTCACACTAGTTATTTTTAAATTGGGTAACAACTAACTTCAAGAATTTTATTTTCGGTAGATATAGTTATTATGCCATGTTTCTAAAACTATCTTTTTTTAAATTATAGGCTCGAGGAGAATGACAAACTTGTTCTTACTCCTTTTGAAAAGAATCTGGACATATGGAGACAGCTTTGGCGAGTACTTGAACGAAGTGATCTGGTAAAGTTTGGCTTAAGTTCTGCAATGTCGGTTCTAATTTTTGAATTCACATTTTTGTTGAAGTCTTGCTTATGAAAGGTCGTAACATGTCTATCATCTACTTTACTTACCATCTATTATTATTTGAACATTAATCTTGTATTTTCTCTTTTATTGATCAAATGATTATTAGAGTATAAAAGTTGCCTTCACTCTCTAAAGTATAAAGTTGGTGGGCAAATAGATCTCATCTTTATTTGGCTATTTCTTAAATAGTTTGAACGCACTAATACAGGTACATATGATCATGAGACACAAATAAATGTGCGACCTATAATTTTTGTTATTTGTATGTTCTACTATATGACATAACCATGTTGAGTGAATCAATTAGGTTTATTCAGTTTAAAAACAATCTATCATAACATATTATATGGTAAATGTACTGATTATTTGGAATATCATGATCAGTATATGCGACGACTCCTTTTACTTTTGTATTTTTTACTTGTTTTACTTATGGTGATATTTATTTGTTCTTGGGTATCATATCTAATTGTTACCTTACAATATATTAACTTTTACTAACTTCGGTAAAGGAACTTATTTAAGAACCTGTGTATTAAGAATCAGTATTTTCTGTAGCTATACAAGCATACATATATGAAGAATTTCCTCCAACCCTTATAGACATTAAAGGTCTTGGATCTTATATGAAGGATGGTCTTTTTTTTTTATGTATGGCTTATTTCTCGTTTATGTATAGTAATTAGGGAACATAACATTTCATTCTGTTTAAATTTTAATGAACAAACCTGTTCAAGTTCCATAATTACACGGTTTTCATTACATTTGTTTTCGAACTCCCATTTCGACAATATGCACTCCTTTCATTGATATACAGTTCTGTACTTTATTCTTTTTCCAGTTGGTGATGGTTGTCGATGCTCGGGATCCATTATTTTACCGATGTCCTGATCTTGAGGTATGTTTGCTTATTTGAAAATCCTATCTTTTCTTTTTTTTTTCTTTTTTTTTTGCGTATGGTATAAAACTTGATGGTCAAGATTTGGAAAACTTATAAAATATTAGCTGCAATTATCAGCCTTTTCTTGTCCCATCTATATGTTGCTGAACAAATTTTGGCAGTTATTACACTTAATAACTCACTGCCAATGTGTAGGCATATGCACAAGAAATTGATGAGCAAAAGAAAACTTTGCTTCTTGTTAACAAGGCAGATCTATTGCCATTCACTGTGAGGTACGTGGTTGTAATCATCTCACACCCCCTCTACAATTTCTGCTCAATACAATCAATAATGTACTGACTTTGAGACCGACAGACAAAAATGGGCAAACTACTTCACTTCCCATGGAATTCTCTATCTATTTTGGTCTGCAAAAGCTGCCTCTGCTTCGCGCGAAGGCAAAGAGCTGACCAATCACTGGGAAGAAGAAAAGCTAGCAAAAGAATCAGATTCAGATACTAAAATCTATAACAGGGACGAGGTCCTGGCTAGGTTGCAAACTGAAGCAGAGGCAATTGCATCCTCTAGAAAAACTTCAACCAACAACGAAACTCATGTTGTTGTGGGTTTTGTTGGTTATCCTAATGTTGGCAAGAGCTCTACAATCAACGCTTTGGTCGGTGGAAAAAGGACTGGAGTCACCTCAACCCCTGGAAAAACAAAGCATTTTCAAACCCTATTTATCTCAAATGAACTCATGCTCTGTGATTGCCCCGGTTTAGTTTTCCCTTCATTCTCCAGTTCCAGATATGAAATGATTGCAGCAGGAGTATTGCCAATTGATAGAATGACTGAGCACAGAGAAGCAGTTCAAGTTGTTTGCAATCGAGTCCCAAGGCAAGTTCTTGAAAGCATATATAACATTACTTTGCCAAAGCCAAAATCATTTGAAATGCAGAAAAGACCACCATTGGCTTCAGAGCTTCTGAGAGCTTACTGCTCTTCTCGTGGCCATGTGAGCTCGAGTGGGCTTCCAGACGAAACTAGGTCTGCTCGCCAAATCCTAAAAGATTATATTGATGGAAAAATCCCACACTTTGAAATGCCTCCAGGAACAATCAATGAGGAATTGGATGTTTCTAGTGATTGTGAGGAACTGGGTTTTTCTAATTTTGGAGAAAAACCAAGCATTGAGCGGGCGTTGGATGATCTTGAATCCTTTGATTTGGCTGGTGGGGTTTTGGTGAAAACTGGTGTTGGAGCTAAGAAGAAAAATGTGACGGCGAGTTATAAGCATCATAAGAAGCCTCAGAGGAAGAAGGACCGGTCGTGGAGAGTTGGTAATGATAATGGTGAAGGGATGCCTGTGCTTAGAGTTTTTCAGAAGCCGGCTGTGAGTTTTGATGCTGTAAGAGCTGCTGCCAATTGAACTGAGGATGCGTTGTCATCTCTTCGATCATAGATAATTGCAGTATATTGGTTGAATTTTGTCGTGGCCTATTTTACTAGTATCATTTTTGAGGAATAGTAGTTCGCTACCAAGTCCTTTGTATTATCATCAGTGTATTGTCTAGTCATTATTGTTGTCGTGTCAGGATCCGGATTTACTGTGATGCTTCACGAATTTACTGCACATGGTCATTTGCATGCATACAGTTTTCTGTAGTAATAGAATTTTATCTGGCTTATACCTTGTGGGAACTTTATTCTAAGGAAATCAGCTGATGAGTTAAATGCTTAAGACATTTTGGAAACTTTGTGATAGCACGAGCTACAACTTGTTAGTCTGTTTCTTAAAGATGGGATTTTGGTCTGACATTGATGTAAAACTGGAGTGATATTACATTGCATTATAGCACTTATTTTTAAGGATTATATATTAGAGATCTTTTGATGTGAGTATAATAGGTTCAGGTGATTTTCGAAATCCTTAATAAATCATTTGAATCCAAATAGTTGGCAGAGAGACCATCAGGAGGTTTCACTAATGCAATTGGGAATTTCGGTCTTTGTGAAATTATGTGTCAATAGTCAAAGTGACTAAAAATGTCCAATAATTGCGGGTTATATTGTAAATTTTTGTATTTGCAAAATTATTTATCTATGGTCGAAACTGCTAAAAATAGCCAAAAATCGTGGATTAAAGTTCACGGAATCATGAATTTTGACCACTGAGAAATTATTTGATAGTAGATCGACGCGATTAAAAATGGCTAAAACTTGTTGGTTTTAGCTCATGAAATCATGAATTTTGGCATCTACAAAATTATTTGTCAACGGATTTAAACGACTAAAAATGACAAAAATCATGGGTTATAACCACTAAATATAAATTTTAAGCCTCCACGAAATTATGTGCTAGCAGGTCGAAACAACAAAAAATGCCCAAAAATCATGGGTTATAGCTCATCTAATCGTGAATTTTGGATTCTACGAAATTATTTACCAATGGATTAAAACGACTAAAAATAAAAAAAAACATGAGTTATAGCTCATGAAATCATGAATTTTGGCCTCAGCAAAACTATTAATCAATGTTTTTAAATGACTAAAAATGTCCAATAATCATGTGTTATGTTCTTTCAAAATTGACTATTTGTTCCTCTCTTTGAGGTGTTGAAGAAATGTATGTGATCGAGTAAACAGCTCTATGAACGAATGGATCGAATCGAATTGGAAAATGGAAAGATTTGTGCATGATATACGTTTCGTCACCATTTTGTAGAAAATAGTTAGGTATGAAAATGTCAGATACCTATGACTCGATTGGTGAAATAGTCTCTTTCTCCAAAAAACTATGTTTTTTATCGACGCACAAAGAAAATATTTTGTTGCGAATGAACAAAATATTGAGGAATTGTCCATATGTAAGATCATCATTATGGATATGGGTCTTTTCCACAGAAAATTGGAATCTTTTGTTACAATAGAACTAGAAGTGATGCGGATCATTCAAGAATCGCTCATGAAATATTGTGAATTTTTCCTTTTGCGAAATTGTTTGCCAAAGGGATGAAACAATTAAAAATGATAAAAAAATCACAAGTTATAGTTCAAGAAATCATGAATCTGGGGCTTCAAAATGTTATTTGACAATAGGCCGAAACGAGTAAAAATGATAAAAAATCGTGGGTTAGCTCACGAAATCATGAATTTTAACTATTGCAAAATTATTTGACAATGGGCGCAAACAACTAAAAATAATAAAAAATTATGGGTTATAACTCATGAAATCATAAATTTTAGCCACCACGAAATTATTTATCAACGAGTCAAAACGACTAAAAATGGTCACAAATCGTAAGTTAAAAACTCATGAAATTATGAATTTTAACTTTCATAAAATTATTTGCCTATGGGTCAAGACAACTAAAAATAGCAAAAAATAATGAGTTACAGCTCAAAAATTCAAGAATTTCTGCTATTGCAAAATTATTTGCAAATGGGGTCAAAATGAGAAAAAATGACCAAAAGTCGTGGATTATAGCTCATGATGTAGGCATCGAAAATTGCCTATAGGTCTCCACGAACAGCTCAGCGCTAAGAAAAGACGATGAACGTCACTATCCGGTTCACAGAAGCTTGACTGATGTCGGTGAACGCTTGAAGTGAATCGACGAACTACGTGAAGTAACGGAGTTTCAGAATAACGGAGACACGAACCGATCGGGAGCCTCGTGTCGCTTACAAAAGGTGAAACTCCCTTCGTGTCTCATCCACTCTATAGATGATTCAATCATGGGATCTTGTAGATCTCCTCGCCGTCTTTCTAACGCACTTTGAATCACTCAAATCCGAGTTCGGACGAAGAAATTACGACGGAAACAAACGAGTGTGCGAAAGAAATCGTCTCAGCCCGAGTTGAGACACCCCGGGGTGTCTCGGCCTGGCTGAGACACCCTGGGGTGTCTCCAGCCCCAGAAATCCGTCGTTGTGCGGTTTTAATTGCCCGGATCTCCTGGAAACCTATAAATACAGCCCCTGGAGCCTCTTTTTTCAGCTCTGTAATTCTCGAGCGTTGGCGAGCCCTGCCGGATTGAAGATCAAAAGTGCACGAATTTCAGAGAGGAGGAGGAGTAGAGATCTGATCGAGTTCGTCGGCATAAAGAAGAGGAGCTCGTCAGATCTGTAGTTTCCCGGGTCCGTTCCTTAAGATTATCCCGTTGCGATAATCTTAAGAAGAGCAATTATCTCGCCGTCGTCGAGATAAGCGCTACTGTTTCTTGATTCCTTCGCGAATCAACGAAGCTCTGCCCGATTTTTTAGCAATCAGATCTGATCGGCGGTGGTCCACGGATATCAACGTCCCCGTCACAGGCCAAGATCCCACGCAAGCAGCGGGCGATAAACACCCGTTGCGTTTGTTTGAAGAGAGTTGTATTTTTTTATTTTTTTTATTGTGTAACAAAGTCTTATAAAAAGACTAATTTTACTTTGAATCTGTAATCGATAAACGTGTAATAGATTCAGCAATGCCGTAGTCGATGCTACGGTTGCACCTTGTAATGATCCGCCGACAACCGATGAGACCAGATCTGTAGATTTGAACTCCTTTACGTTCAAGGAGCCGACTGCTGAAGGTGCGCCAACTCTATCAAAGAGAGCACATCAAAGGAAACGCCAACGCCTCGCGCGCCAATTCGCCAAGACTTTGGATCAGGTGGATGGACTCCGGTACCAAGCGGATTGGGAGTTCAGAAAGCGCCAAGTGACTAAGCTATCACCACAACAAGCATCGGGACCCTCCTCCCAACCTCTAATTAACAAATGGGTTCAGGTCAAACGAACCCGTTCTACCCTCGAGGAGCGCGTCCAGAAGCGCCGTGCACTTATTGCGCACACCCAGATCCTTGTGCGAGAGGCACGAGAATTGCAGCGGGAAGAGGTGATCAAGAAATCACCAAGATCTAAGCAGGTTTGGGTGCCGAAGGCTAAGTCAGCGCCCCTACCCGATAAAAGACATCAGTCGTGTCTCTCGGTCGATTCTAGATCCAAAGCTGGTTCCCAGCTTTCGTCAAGTTCAGATCTCGCTCCTTTTAATCCCGCACCTCCGATGAAGCTCTGCGACAATATGGACATATCTAGAGGCAGGAAAGTGATAGCGGAACGCCTGGGTCTTTTGCACGAGGATCAAGGCAAAGCACCTATTAAAGAACGCTTGGGACCATTGAAGGAACCATGCCTGGGTCTTTTGCACGAGGATCAAGGCAAAGCTCCAGTCAAAGAACGCTTGGGCATGATGAATGAACCCCGAGCAACTCATCGAGTTGGTGGTCGCACTCGCCCTTCCAATAAATCAGAGCCTTCCTATAATGGGAAAGCTCCTATAACTGACCGCCTCGGACTGCGAGTCATTATCCAAGAGCCCGTTGAGGTCTCACGTTCACGAAAACGTGACTCAAAACGTGCGACTCTTAATAGCACTGACAAGACGACGAATCCTCAGAAGGAAACATGTTCATCAGACGACGACGTTATACCCGAGGAGTCGTGCCAGCACACGATACGTTGCTCCGGCAATCATGCCGATGAGTTGTACTATCGGGCTGGGGGTACGAACAAATCTCGAAAGAAAAGTACCCGAGAAACGGACTCTCATTGTCCGTGTACTAAAATTATCAGGGTAGTATTATCAGCGTGTAGCTGCCCCAAGACCACTCCACAAAGGGTCTCAGTATTTGAAAGGATCTCCCCCAGAACACCCAGGACCAAGCCAATGCGTTTCTGTAGAAAAAGTCCAACTGCGCAAGATGACGAACTTCCAGAAGTCGCAGTTAATATGGTTGATAAGGGGAAGTCAACGCGAAACTTCAATCCTTGTCATCTTTCGGACATATCCCAACGTATAACTCGGTTACGGTCGGGAACCGTTAGACAAAGGGACTATCAGAGGATGAATCTCTGCAGTCGCTTCTGACAAAACAGTATCCAGCCTAGGTCAATCCCGCGAAGTGTTGATGATTAGCACAGAAGAGGTCACTAAAATGGTTGAGGATGCCTTGGCCAAACAAAAAGAGAACTTCAAGTTCGAAATGGAAATGGCTATGCTACGAATGAGGGAAGAGCATGACCAACAAATTCGGACTCTATCCAATCAATTCGGTGAATCCAGCCATCGCAACAATGCTAATCAAACAGATAGCGATTCAGATACAATCAATTCGGTGAATCCAGCCATCGCAACAATGCTAATCAAACAGATAGCGATTCAGATACGGATGAGCACCTTAAGGCTGATGATCCTCCCATTGACCAGAACGCTGGGGGTGGTCCCACCAAAGATGATAATACTGGGGGTGGCCCCGTTATTCCTCTCAGAAATCGTCCAAGATCTGATACAGACGAGGACGATAAAATAAAGGACCTCGAGAGAAAAATCAACGCGCTGATGTCTGTTTAGGGGATAAAAAGGACCGATATTCCATCTCCCTACCCAAGAAAGTGGGATTCGATCCCGTATCCGGTGAAGTTCAACTTGATCAACTTCACGCCGTTTGACGAAAATGGTTCCCCTACTCAGCACTTAATATATTTTAAGTCTCATTTGGGAATAATTTCTGGCAACAAGCCCTTGATGGTGCGGTCATTCGTTGACACCCTTCGCGGGCCTGCCTTCGATTGGTACCGTCGTCTCAAGCCCGGAAGCATCAA